GTGTGTCTTCCATGTCAGACACAACCAATGCCTATGGCTGATTACAAAGAAGCCACTTTCACTTCAAATTATGACTCAAAATTAACGCATTCTGAACTTAGAGGAGCTGGCTGACAAAAGCATGTGTGACAGCCATTTAAACTAACACAAGTGTCATGTAAGAGTTTGTATATAATTGTTGTGCCTGAATATGACTTTTGGGAATCTAATACATTTAAATTCATTATTATAACTTTCCTACAGTCTAAGCACAAATATGTTTTGTCCAGTGACATTTAATGGGCTGACCACAGTGTTTAAAAGCAATGATACATACACTGATGACCGTCACCACTGAAACTTTCATCCAGTTTCATTTCCAGTCTCTAGTTGCATAATCTTCCAGCAGATTCAACTGGAATCCAAATTTAGCCAATGATCTGTTATTAAGTGGGGATCCTGTAATTTCACTCAGCTGAAAGTTTGTCACAAGCAATTACAACTTAAAGTTGCATCAATTGTGTGGTGTTGCATGCTTACTTGCTTATTGATGGATTGTTTGTGTATTGCATTGTGTTGCATTGTATTATACTGAGATATTTACAAGTATGCAAAATCTATTTATCTTTCTGCTAAAATTAACCAAACCTACCATCACATGGTTTTAGCTGAACAGTAACATAATTTGATATTCCTCTCTCTTAAGTTGCTTATGGAAAAGCACATGAATGCCAAAAAAATTAACTTCCTTATGTATGTATTAAGAGAGTTTCTGTCAGATGCTGTTTGTGCATGAAAAGAAGTATCTCAGTACGTTAAAGCTGTTCTATCACACTTGCTCCAGTCAACTATACACTGAAGGCCAGTTCTTGCAGAGTCACTATGAACTTGAACTATGAACTATTGTATGCTATGGTGGAAATGATAACAATATATCATTTGAATATTATAGACTGTATTAAAAAGAAAACGAATTTGCAAGTAAAATGTAAAATTCATCTGCATCTATTTGCACTTAGTGGCTTATACTCCATCCTTACTTGGAAATATGTGTCCACTGCATCAAATATTATGAATTCGCAGTGCATTGGCCTCTAACTGGATCCAAAGCATATGGCTCTGCATAGAAGGAGCATCAGCTGTATTTGTAGGATTGACTGTATTTTCCAACCAAACGCTTAGAATCTGCAGACTCTTGATAATGTTTATTTGTATATATACGTATTAAGAAAAATAATTTCATTGTCATGCTATATTAGCACCCATTCACTATCTTAATGGATCTTCTGTGAGAACTAGAGCGCCTGCTATAAGTCTGCTGCTCGAACGTGATAAGATCTCCGAATTAGCCACTGTTTTTACATCTGACTGTTCGCCACAGAGGAAGCCTATGTGAATGGCTTACAGTCTTCTTTTAAAAGACTGCTCTAACACAGTCTAAGTTTCATTACAGCTTACTGTCTAAAATTCTAAATCATTTAAGTAATAGAACCACGTATAATAACAGAACAGAACACCAGTGCTGTCACATAACTGAGCATATTACATGATTGCATTATTGTATTGCATACTGGTAGATAAACATCATTCAACAGATTACTGATTCAGAACAGCTGTCCTGCATGCCTTACTGCACAAAATCAGTGAATAGTAAAGTCTCCACCTGACATCCTAAGCTATGAACATCATCTGTCGTAAAAACTCAATTTAAAAGGTCATGGAGCATTGGGAGTCTTCACGTGTAAATATTTGATGTGGAGGAAGCAAAATGTTTCTGATTCTGGCTAAAGCACATCATGTCCACTGACTTGGCCTTGTAATTCTGAGTTGTATTCCTTTCCTAGGCTATGAGCTGAGAATAAAATGACCATGATATAGGAATGCACCACAGGCAACACTTACCTGGAGTTCTTATCCTCTTCCCATGATTTCTTGGCCTTTTATCAATGTGCGGGCTGAGGCGGAACCAATGTCCTTGCAGTGTAATCCAGTGCTTAAGATGAAAAGAGGTGGAAATGTAACCACATCCTTCAGCATCAGGTTATATCAGCCTACATAGGCACTGAACAACGGCAGCAACAACAGGAGCAGTTATATCAGCACGCCTGCCGTGCTGTAGTGCTACTAAACAGGAACTCAGAGAGAGAAGGTGCAGAAGAACACAAAGAGGAAGACATGGGCTACATGTGTTCATGAGTGGGAGGAGGTTTGACTTACACACGCAGGCTTTGTTCTCTGACTGACGTCTTAGTTTTATTGATGCTATGGATGGCAAACTGCCATGAATGGCAAGCTGTTCTTAAAAATAACAGCTTTTTGCCATTTACTGAACAATAATGTTGCTATATCTCAAACATAAGAGAACCACGATTCCATTATTAAAAACAAAATATTTGGTATTGTTTTTTTTATAACTTTTTTAAAGTTGAAATAATTTAACTAAGGTACACTTGTTAGGTACACACCATTTATTGTGTTGTTTGATATTGTTTTAAGATATTCAAATAATTAAATAACATGTGTTTTTATCAGACTTCTCTCTAGTCTAACTGCAGACTCAGCCTCTATACTCAGCATAAGATCAACTCTTAACTTCCCCAGAGGTCAACATTTGCATTTTGTACCATAAGAGTGCCTCTCTCTGTCTGTCACTCTTTTGGTGACTTTTCGGTTTGTGACTGCTCTAAAGAAGGAACTTATCTGCAAACGCTTCCAGTCAGAGGAATCAGGACAGCGCGGGGCAGGAAGCGTAGGCCTACAATATGTAATGGTAAATCCACAATAGCAAAATATATATATATATGACAGGTGTTTTAGCTAAATAGGCGACATGCTTTGGATGAGCTTGGCTTAGTGGAAATGAAATACTGCCATCTAGTGGTTCAACCGCGTTGCAGAACAGCAAACGATCCGACATAGCAAGTAGGTGTATAGGTTGCAGTAGATTAGTGTTGTAGGAGTAATATTAAACAATGAGGGAAAGAGGGTAACATGTTCAAACTTACCGGTAAACTATCAAAACCAGTAACACGAGTTGAATATGCATTTTTGAGCTTGGACTTCCTCAAATGGAAGCCACAAATACAGAAAAGTCTGTATTCGTTTGTAAACAAAATAAATAATCTGCTCCTATATGTATCCTACATAAAATCACTTAAGAATGTTACACATGTTCAGTTCAGCACGTTAGTCCGCTCTTAAATAAATAATCTCTTTGAAAATATGACCTTGGTTTTATTTACATGTATTTACATTTACATAGATAATCTAATATTCAGAGTTCAGCTGAAACGCATTCTGACACTCATGCTATTTGCGCATGCGTCTTTCAGCACCTTGTTCAGTTGATCTCTCTCGAATCACCCATATAAACACACGCGATGCTTTACTTACTGTAAGTCGCTAACGTAGGCCAGACAACCAGTGAATTTGAATGGCCGTTTGATTAATTAATTTATCATTTGGTAGGCCTAGAGCTGAACATTGTTATTCCTAAAACGTTTGGAGGCCCAGTTGTAGCATTTAATGTGTCGTTGTTATAGGTGAGAAAAATAATAATAATAATAATAAAAAATAATAATAAAAATAATAATAATAAACCCTCTTTATCCTCACTCAGGGTGAGAATTACTGGAAGTGGCTCGGAGGAGCCTAACTAGTCATTATGAAAAGAGTAAACTGCATAGTCTACTTAGCAGTTCTATTTCAATCAAAGGCACGTCCTATTATAAATAACAAAGTAACCACGCAGAATACAATTTTGTCAGAGCATGAGTTATCTGGCGCCAAAAGTAGGCTATCGTTCTTTCTTTTCTTTTCTTTTTTTAGGTTACTCTAACAACGTAAGACCGTTCGTGCTTTCCACTGAAAAACTAGCCAGTCTAGATGAGTAGGCTATATCAGATACATATCGACTATTGTTATTATTGTTATTATTGTCATTGCTTTCTGAGAGAGTGTAGCCTATTTGCATATCTTTGACGAAATTCGTTTTATTTGTAAATAAAAAATATAGGCCTAAAAAACTTTTATATTTATAGAGCCTTTAATGATTTAAACAATAGACAGCCTACATTTGATAAATATATGATATAACATGCATGCTCTGTAAAACCAGTGTTTTTGTAGGAACTAATAACAATACTTTACTGAGCTACACTTTAAGACAAAATTGAACCCAGAAGTTGGCTAAATTTATTCAAACGTCCCTTTGTGGTGTCACCATTCTATTAATATGTAGTATTTATGATTATTAATAATATTTATTTATATTCATAAATACATTGGGCCTAAATATGCAAAAGACCTTGGGTCAAGGTATGGGTTAGTCTGTAGTAATTATAAAAAAAATAAAAACAATACAAGTTTATGGTAGGCTATGTTCACGTTTAGATTTAAATTAATGCATTGAGAGAGAGAAAACATTTCATAAATTCCACATCCGATCTAAAAAGTGTTAACTTTGGATGGCTATAGATAAAATAATGAGGTACCAACCGCAAATAACTCATTAATAAAAAAAAAGTGAATTTTCCAAAACACAATGACCAAATAGGCCTATAAAAAAATTATACATTGACATTGTCTTGCTGAAATCAGCATTATTTGCCTATTGTTGTACTCGATTTAGCCTATGTTGTTGCTAAAATAGCATTAGGCTATTTTTTTAAGTCTATTTTTTTAAGTCTCTCTACCCTTTATTTTATAAATGAATTGACTACGCGACAATTAGCCTGCAGAGCGAAGATAGCATACTGAATAGGCCTATGTTTGACTAATTTTCAAATTGCGCTTCTATTAGCCTATATTCTGTTCAATCCCCGTCTGCTGGTTTTATTGATAATCTACCAGTGGATGTCGTTGTTCTCTCGAGTGTCACTGCTGGAGATGAATGAGCTCAAAGCCCTGCGTAAAGACGCGTCCGGCTCTTTCTCCATAGAGCAGATACAGAGAGAGAGAGAGAGAGGCAACGTGAGTGTCTCCTATCTCACTAGAGCTCAAACTAACGGGATCTTCTTATATCCTCTACATGCGCAGAGATTCAAGAACCAGACAAGTGAAAGCGCGTGTCCAATACTCATTGGAAAAGAGAGCCAACACGAACTGAGATTGTTTTGTGACTTTTCTGCTTTTGCTGAACTGTTTGACGGAGGTACAGTGACCTGTGTGGAGATTTCTCCAATTGCGATTTTCTTTAATTACGAAAGCGTAAATATTGTGGGATCTTCCGTAGTGGTTTAGATCCGGGAGTTTGCCCATATGCTGGAGTCAGATTTAGATTCGCATTAGTTCGTTATTTGGCACCGGTTTGATCGCGGTGTCATATCGGCTGTGGATTGATCACGCTCAGACTGTCAACTGATTTTCCATCTGCAAACAGTGAAAGCATCTTCTCATTAGGACACGGCTGTGTTTCAGCACACAGGAGAGAATAAGGAAGGCGCATGATGATGTTGAGGGTCTCGGATGCTTTGGTCACTTTGGTGACTCTCTACTGTGTGGTCAAAGGGACTGTCGGCGGATACGGCATGAGCATGTTCGCCGCTCAGACCTCTCCACCGGATCCGTGCTACGACGAGAACGGTCAGCCCAGAAGATGCATCCCCGATTTCGTCAACGCGGCGTTCGGGAAGGAAGTGCGCGCGTCCAGCACCTGCGGCAAAACACCGAGTCGGTACTGTGTAGTGACTGAGAAAGGGGATGAAAGGCACAGAAACTGCCACACGTGCGACGCGTCGGACCCAAAGAAATATCACCCACCTGCTTACCTAACCGACCTGAACAATCCTCACAACCTCACCTGCTGGCAGTCGGACAATTACATCCAGTATCCTCAAAACGTCACTTTAACATTGTCCCTGGGCAAGAAATTCGAGGTGACCTACGTGAGTTTGCAGTTCTGCACACCGCGACCAGAGTCCATGGCTATCTTTAAATCGATGGACTACGGAAAGTCCTGGGTGCCTTTCCAGTACTACTCGACCCAGTGTAGAAAGATGTACAACAAGCCCAGCAAAGCCACGATCACTAAGCAAAACGAGCAAGAGGCCATCTGCACAGATTCTCACACCGACATGCACCCTCTCTCCGGCGGGTTGATCGCGTTCAGCACCCTGGACGGGCGACCCTCCGCGCACGACTTTGACAATTCACCCGTACTTCAGGACTGGGTGACCGCCACAGACATTAAGGTGACTTTCAGCCGACTGCACACTTTCGGAGACGAAAATGAGGATGACTCGGAGCTGGCCAGAGATTCCTATTTTTACGCCGTGTCAGACCTGCAGGTCGGAGGCAGATGTAAGTGTAATGGACACGCGTCACGGTGCGTCAAAGACAGGGATGGAAACCTGGTGTGCGAGTGCAAGCACAATACAGCCGGACCAGAGTGTGACAGATGCAAACCTTTTCACTATGACCGACCCTGGCAGCGCGCAACCGCCAGAGAAGCCAACGAATGTGTCGGTAGGTCCAACTTTTTTATTTCTGCATCATTTTTGGAAAGCGCGAAGCCCAAGGCGAGAACACATCACCAAAGACATATCGTTGATCTTTCGTCGCACGTACAATTTGTTTGAGATGAGTTAGAAACCAGCCATGACTGCCAAGTAAAAAGTGCGGGTGTTTTCTTTTTAAATGCTAGCGTTTCGCTTCTAGTGAAGGGAACTTTCAGGACCATTACAGTACAACAATATAAGTGACAGATTTATGGAGAATTCACTAAATGATTTGGGGAAATGAAAAAAAAAAAAGCTCTAATTTTTGAAAACTTGAAATAATGGTTTGAAGGTAAGCAGCAAGTAGATTAGTGCTGTCAAAGTTTAACAAATATGATTTATTACGATTTATAACTATACGCAACAGCCGATTTTTACCAATCTCGGCATCGAACAGTTTGAATAAATGTCTTAGGAACATAATTAATGAATACATAGCTTCACTTAAAGGTCTGTTTAGCAAACGGTTTATGCATTATTAAATACAAGTTTACGTCAAAAATAAAACATTAATATGGAAGTTTTAGAAACCTAGGCTCGGCTTACATGTTTACTGAACGATTCATTTTAACAAAATGCGCCATGATTTATTACGATTTATAACTATACGCAACAGCCGATTTTTACCAATCTCGGCATCGAACAGTTTGAATAAATGTCTTAGGAACATAATTAATGAATACATAGCTTCACTTTAAGGTCTGTTTAGCAAACGGTTTATGCATTATTAAATACAAGTTTACGTCAAAAATAAAACATTAATATGGAAGTTTAAGAAACCTAGGCTCGGCTTACATGTTTACTGAACGATTCATTTTAACAAAATGCGCTCAAATATATTTGAACAAAAAATGTGGATTCGTTTGTCCAATACAGCTTGTTAAGATGCCTGTTAATGTTTATTTTATAAGCAGTGCCATAAGCAAGATATTTATTTACTGTTTAAATGGTGATTTTTTAAATTACTATTCATAGTGATTATTATTAGTTTAGGGCAACAATATTAGGATATATTCCGCATCATCACGTATAAATGTAAAAAAAAAAAAAATCGGAAAAAGTGAACAGGTGTCTTTAGAGACTGAAGCGAGAAAGACAAACAGCTTATATATTTTGTCGTCTAAAGAGCAATGTGATAAAAGTCTGCAAACGAGCCGCCTTGTGTTTTGGCCCGTGCACTCAATTTTATCACTGTCATTAAAATACATTTTCAGACATATTCATTGCTTTCTTTCTTCTTCTTATTATTATTACTTTTCTTTATTACTTATACTTTATTTATTCTCGTTATACTACAAACAAAATACAAATAAAAACTAAAATGATCGAATTAAGTTAGGCCTATATCAGCTCTGTCTGATATAACTTAATTCGATCATTTTAGTTTTTATTTGTATTTTACATACTATTATCGTTGTTATTATTACAATTATTTATAATATTATTTATAAAATGAGTAATAATAAAAATAAGTTTTACATACACAGATATTTGAAACACAGTATCACTACATGACAAACTTAGCTGGAGGAACATGAATATTTAGTCTGTTGCTTATGCCTAAAGTAAAGACATAAAACCCATGACACTTAATTGAATGGATGAGGGACCTAATTCATAAATAAAATTAACTGTCATAATTTGCACTGAATTGTCTGGCTGCTCTTAAAATGGCCCAAATCATGCTGAAGCACTCTTAAAGCAGACTGTTTATCAGCAGTCGGATACATAAGATAACTCTCTGGGTTATTAAAAGTGCTTATGGGTGCAGCTGATGCATACAATTCCTGTTGATTAAAACAGTCCTTAAAATAAAATAACATTAACACTGACACTGACAATGCCCTTTGTGTAGTTCTGTGATATTAAACAGAATATCTGTAATAAAAAAGCATCTGAAAAAGTCTGCATCCTAAAACGTGAAAAAGAATTATGATATTTTAACGTGCTATGCATCTGTTTATTGAGTCAGTTCAGTTCGATAGCAGAAAGACTTAAGCAGTGACTGTGCACTGTCATTTGGACATGCAAATAATGTCTGGCTGTGCATAAACAAGTCTGAATCATAACTATAATGAAAATAACCTGATAGTCATCATCTGTCATCAATCACACATTTTGTAGCTAATTTTGCACCTGCTCAGTTAGTTTTCAATGCCTGTTTTAACTCATCTTAGAAAAGAAGAGCTTGTTCTTCTCCTCTTCTCTCTGACTAAGCCCAACATGTATCTGTTCGCTGGAAATGTAAACAAACCAGTTGAGCACTGTCGCACAGCAGAAATGAATTGCTCCCCTGTATCCTTGACACTTTATTTTTATCGGGGCCTGCATGTGTGAGTCTTGCGTGGGGCACAAAAGATCGCCACTCTGAGCATCCATCTTGCTGTCAGCGAGCCAACGCTTTTGCCGAACATTCCTCGGCTGTGTTTTTCCTGAGCGCAGTGCCATCAGATCCAGTGCCGAAATGTAAAGAAAGAGCAAGAGAATGAAAAGAGAGGAGTGAAGGGGTGGGCAGCGTTAAAGCAAACAGAGCTTAAACAAGAGAAGAAAGAGCCGTGTGACACCTCTGAGCCAGGGCAGAACCCAAGGGAAAACGGTTGTGTGTGTGTGAGGGCCAAATGCAATCAAACACCTACAGAACACTAAGGCAACCTCTCATTCATAACCCAAGCTTAAATATAGAAATGTATGATGTAAATGATCTGACAGAGGGTTTGGTCCTCTTTCAGCAGTAATGTATGTAGGAGAAATATTCCAGCACACTGGGGAGTATGTCAGTGCAACTGTCTTTGTTGGTCCTGATATGTGTTTATGTACTAGACCGAACTCTTACTGAAAGGAAATTTCACCAAAGCGCTTGAGTTGAACCGGGGGATGCTGTGCTATGAATTTCACTTACTAAATATAATAAGAATACATATAGGAGAGATGGATTTGGAACAGAGATAATAAGGGAGGTTTTAAAGTGAGTGAAACATAGTGTGAGAGAGAGTGTTTAATAGATAGCGATCAATAAGCGGGACTGAAAAGAGACCTAGGTTTCACTTGAACTGCACTTAACTGATTGGATCCTTGAGTGGAAAAGGACCCCTATAAACCCCTGAGTTCCCTGTTAATGTGGCCTTACAATATTGATCAGCTTATGCCATTGAGAGGCATACTTTTTTAATACATTGAGCCACAGTCTGAAGCCTGTCAAGAATACAAAGTGATGAGAGGAAGGCCATCCGAATGAAATGGGTACTCCATACTTGGGGGGGGAATCATTTAAATCATTGCATTACATAAAAATCCTTTTAAAGTCAAGTCACAGTTTTTTTGTAGCACTTTATACATTACAGATTGTTTCAAAGCAACTTCACAGTAATAAACAGGAAAATAACTGTGTTAATGTTGTAAATATTGTTCATCAGTTATGAAACAACTTCAATTTCAGCTGTTAAGCATATCTATAAAAGACACTAGGGTCATTATTCAGCTCAGTCAGTTCAGCTTGGCTTGTCCAGCATATACACTTTAATTGGACTACAATTTGCCTTTCCAATGTACACCTGGTGTGAAAAACAGACAGTGTGTATTTAGTCCTTCAATTATGCTATTACGCATTGTGTCATTTATACTTTTATAGAGTGTACAGTAGCTGTGATACGCAATAACCAGCTGTAGCTTGATTATAACTGTGCATGTAAATATACTTATAAAAGAGGATTTACTTACAAGTTTCGCTGGAGCAGACAAGATGAGGCAGTAAAATGTGAACGTTTTAGTAAAGAGAAGGAAATGTTTAAGAGCAATGTAATCTTGATGACAGAAGGATGTGTTGAATCTCAGACTGTGGTTTTAGATGAATCAGGGATGTTTCTCTGTCCTCTATTGTTGGAAGTAAAACAAATCGCTGTCAGAATCCAAATCGGTTCTCTTGTATTTCCCGCATGTACTTGTTTCTCTGTCACAAAGTTACATTTAACTCTCTAACATCCCTACAACTTGCCAAACCACAATATGACTCTGCCAGTTTGAACATATTGTCTCACATAGTTACTGCATGATCTCCTTGAACATTAAATGCACACTTGGAAATGTTTTAGAGCTCTCTTGGGCCTGAATCTGAAATTCTTGCCTGGCAGTGCAGGTCGATCGATATTCTGAAGACATGAATTAGGTGACCCCTATCGGGGTAATCTCCCAGGACAGGTTATTCACGTTTTAGAAGAAAATGAAGTACTGCCCATTTGCTCTTCTCAAATGTAAATATGGAAATGTTCCTTCAGAAACTGAAATTCTGCCATCATTTACTCACCCTCATGTGGTTTCTAACTATTTTTTCTGCAGAACAAAAAAGAAGATATTTGAAGAATGTTTCAGTTGTTTAGCCCATACAATAAAAGTCAGTGGAGTTTCAAGTTTTAAAATTGTCATAAAGTTAGTGTAAGATTAATCCATGCTCCAGTGGTTTAATACGATCAATTTCTATGCTGAACAGACTGAAACATAAAGGGTTAGTTCACCTAAAAGAAAAGGTTCTGAAATATTGACACTTCATTAAGTCACTGTAAAACATATTCATCTGTATTGAGTGGTTTAATCCAAGTCTTCTGAAAAGACATGGTCGATTTATATGATGAACAGATTTAACTGAACTTTTATTCACATACTGATCATCGCATATACATATGGTAAACGGAAGCCTAAACTTGTGTTTTGACAATGAACGAATTACGAGTTTGGAATGACATGAGGTAGAGTAAATGACAGGATTTTTATTTGTGGGTGAACTATCCATTTAAGTAGTGATCCATTCTCAAATCAGATCAAATACTTAATCAACTCATGTTTACTCATACCATCATATCATACTCATATAAATATGGCAACACATCAGTTATATCAAACATCAATTGGTGCTTGTGTCATGACTTTAAGTCAGGTGACAGGAAAGAACACATTGCCATTTGATTTGGACTCAGA